TATTTCACTTTTCGTATTTGAAAATAATAAAAACCTCTAGCATAAACAATAAAATATTATAAGTTATAGATCAGTTTAAGTGAAGTTACATAATGGTGTCACATAAACTGAAATAAAGAAATTTGTTTACTTTAGTCAATCAAAATCCAAAAATTGAAAGTTTGAGTTTTGTCACTTATATTTTACTTATAAAATATATTATTTCTCAAGAATCAAGATAAAAATTGTAATATCTTTTTGGTAAAATGTATTACAATATGCATTCCTTTGAGCTATTAGAATACTATTTAAGGGAAGTACGTTCATTTTTTCAAGTTGTGGGATGGATTATTAAAATTTAAAATTGGAAAGATTCCGGTCTATTGATAAGTTTAAAAAAATATATGGTTTAATTGTTGTTTGTTATATAACAGATAACAGTTATAACTAACATATAATAAAATATAAATTAAATGTTTTATTCTATAAGTATTACACGGGACTAGTATTAAGAATAGCCCAAAATCATACACATTAGTCATTTTAAATTATTTTGCTATCCAAATTGGGTTAATTGACTAATAGTTTAAAATCTATATTTATGACCCCAAAAATACACTTCTGTAACATATAGGTGTAAGTTATTTTCTGGTTCATAAAATAACTACATTTGTATTTTTCAGTTAAATTCAGTTTGGTCTATAGAAATATATTTTATTTTATTTTTTATAATATTATGAAATAATTTTAACTATTATTTGTTATTTACACAAATTAACAAAAACGTATCAAATTTAAAGTCATGTATTTCAAAATTTACATTTACCTATAACCATAAAGATGAGTTATCGTTAAGATTCGTTTTAATTCAATTAGCTAATTAACATTTATTTGTATGATAGGTACTTATAGTCGTAAGACATAACTACTTTAATCCATCAGTAAATGTTTACAACAGAGAGTTTAACTAAAGTTCTAATTATTACTGTACTTGTTCATATCTATATAAAAACTGTAAAATTGGTATAATGCCATTATGTAGATTAGGTACATAAACGGGTGTTATCACGTCCATGTATTAACTAATTGGCTCAGGTCGAGTTTAAATTTATCGTTCTTTTAAGACGCAATGCGAAAAATCTGGAGAGTACATTATAGCATGCATTATACAGAAACCTGGTATAGGGCACAGGTTTCACTTCATCTTCCTCTGTGTACGATAGTAATGTGTTGAGAATTTGTGAATTCAAAAACAATCATAACGCTTTTAATGCTATAGTATATGATATTTTTCAATATTTTTCTCATGCTCTGAATTCTGAAAAACTGTAAATAAAATTTTACTGTACTGGCCATGGTATAGAGAAGGTATAGTAGACTCGATTGATTGAGCTAGGATACTAAGTACTAATTAATATGTCATACTATTAGAGAAATAATTATTCTAATAAAACACCTTCTTGTTTTCTTTTACCACGGTGAAATGATATATAATACTGCATTGCAGCCTGCAGGTCTATGACTTCAGTAATTAATTTGTTTTTTTTTTGTAATAATTTTTGAAAATAATGCAGTGACAAAAATGTAGTTTATAACAGGATTTTAAACGTAAGGTAAACACATGCATTTGTTTTTATTTTCTAAATTTAAAACAAATAATTTTTTTTTTTTTCAAAATAAAAATGTAATTGATATTATTCCATAATATAGTCTAGTTGCTTTGATTTGTATCTAGAATTTTAATGTTTTTTAATTCGTTTTAATTTACATACAATATAAAGTACACAAATTAGGTATGGTAGTTTTTAATATAGTACCAAACATATAGTAATAACTAGTAGGCTTATTAGGTGTGATGAGAACACTGCAGTAGATACTTCCTGCTCAGTAGGTACTTAGTACCGTTAAACAAATCTTGGTTGCACGTGCTACAATATTATTGATGAAAAGGTATTCGAAGGAGTAAGAGACCTGTCATTGTGAGAACTGATCGATGTCCAAGCACACGCTCTGTTATTAAATCGCTGTCAACTAAATACATTACCATAAGGAATAACAATGATGATTATATTATATAACCATGAGTGTATTGTCGATTCTGAGAGGAGCAATATGAAATATTATATTATAGTCGAAGATGAGAAATTAAAAATTTTTGAAGTTTTTGGTTTTGATTATAGAAAAAAACAAATTTTGTTAATCTTTTAATACCGTTTTCAATATTTTTGTTTAAAAAAATCTTACTATTTTATAACTACAAAATAATTTTCAAATTTACCAAAAAATTTTGTCAAAATTTGAGTATCAAATGCTTAAAAAAATCGTGTCTATGTATTATAAACATTTTGAAACTTTTATTATAACACAACTGACGACAAACCTTAAAAACATTTTCAAGCTTTTTGATCTAGTCAAATTTTTTTTATCGATATTTATAGAAATAAATTTAAAAAGTAATATGCTTTATAAATGTCTTATTATATTATAGCCCAAAAATAGTCAAACTATTTTGAAAATTGTATGGTGTATAGAAAATATTAGTATAAACATCCTGTAAAAAATATTGTGTCTTCGGTTATTTTATTTTTACCAAAAAAACAAAATCGATTTTGTCAAAAAATTGTTTTGCGAAAAACTCCTATTTTTCTAAAAATGTTATTGTTTTTTTCCGACGCTTTTATAATATATATAGGTACTAGTGGACATTTTCAATTTTAATCTCTCAAAAGTACTAATTAAATTCACTTTCCCACCAGAAAAGATACTGAAGTTGAAAATTAAACTATTATTTCAGCCACTATTATCGTGTACACAGAATAAAAAAAAACACATTATTGTAAAATCAATACATTAATTGCCCCTAGAATCTAAAATAAGTTATATCTGGAGAAATAGGCAAAATATTTAAAACCAATACAATATATTTGTATTAAATTCGAATAATTAATAATTAAGGAAACAATTTAATTTAGTGTGTATAATTCTAACATCGCTTTTAAAATATGTTATTTATCTTTTTTAATTCTATAATTTTGATAAACCTATTATTATATTTCTACAAAATTTAAATGTTTTAAGTGGCCCGCGATAGTAGCAAGACGAACTTTCCAACCACCACTGCAGGGCACAAATAGAACAAATCAACTCTCCCACCTTGCCCGAAAACGGGGCAGTGGCAATGGAGATCGAGTCTTGTTGTACGGTGGACGGCAAAGGCCTCTCTCTCTCCGTGTTGTGCCATCGTACCGATATATACGCAACAACCTAGTCCAACGTCAAAACCTACCACACCTTCAAACGGTTATACTTTCTTGTTTATGATAAACTGTCGTCGCTACAGTTCATGTGTAGGTGAATACATAATACAATGCATACATTCTACCCCATGGTGAATCGTTTGTGTTGTGCTTCAAACACCTAACTACTGAAACCCACACCGTGACCGAGGACCACGGCCAGACACCTGCCACTACCGAATTTGAGTTAAATTGGCTCAACTGTGAGGCATAACACACAGTCAGTCAAAAGGTAAGACTTTTTTCCTGCACGCTGATACATAGGTACCTAGAATTATCGGCTTATATTATTTAGTATTAAGTTATTTAAATCGGAAAATAATATTGATACGGCAGTCTGTTGGTAACATCACAACTAGTTGCATATTATAGTTACATTTACATAACGTAACATCACCTCGCTAACCGCTTACTTTTATTCCACGAAATTGCTGCAGCTAACTGCATCTACCGTGACCTTGCAAACCAGTTACCACCTTTGCCATCGACACCGTGACCTAGTTATACACTTTATTTAATTAGAATTGTACCAGCACACGATAACAGCGGGCATAGTTTTCGTCGCTTTTTTAAAAGCTACTTTACCGTACACCAGTCACTAATAGAGGGTGGGAGGTATAAAATTGACTATTGAAGTGCATGTGAAAGTTTTCTGCTCCGTTCGACGTTCTTGGGCTATAGTATGGTTCACTAGCCCAATTAACGGCTGTTCATTAATATCAATAATATTGAACGTATTTCGCAGCTTAAAGACACCCTTGTACACCCAAATCTGTACCTAAAATCTGGTTTTCATTGTTTACTATTTTGTGCGCAAACGGGTTGTCGTAAATTAAAAAAAATATATTAGAGTATTAGATAGTATGTGCGCAAACGAGTCTCCACTCACCTCTTAATAGTATAACAAACCAAGTTTTGTAATTAAATTAAATTCAACTTATTTTTATACTATCACCGGTAAATACGTTGGCGGAGTTGAATTGCGTCTCGAGTGCTATGTACGGGAAATTTTCACTTCCGGATCAAAAGCTAATGTTATTGGAAAAAACGCTGGAACATTTTTTACGAGATACCGGTATAAATTACGTGATTGTGTGTGTCGATATCGCCGTGACACAGCTAGGGACGTTGAAACAATTTTTTCTCGGACAAACGGACATGCTCATTACCCCCGGTTTTGTCCTTGGTCCTAATGATAGAGAGTAGAGTCCCAGTAGTTGGGCACTGTCTAAAAGAGGGACCTTGCACCAAACACACTGCAGAAGAAGCGATAAAATGACACAAAATGACACAAAGAGAGGGTAGTGAAGGAAGTAAACATTTTGGGCAACAATATGGTGTGGTAAATCCAAATTAAAACTCAAAGTTTGGTGAGGGTGGTGTAGTCTATTACAAAGCACACCACTAAGGCGATTGAACTTAGGATTTTCACGACGGCAGTCACCCACATCAAGCCGTCTTGGTTTTGATGAAAACACGTAATAGTAGGTATATTATTATTTTTAAATAATTATTGTCATTAGCTATTTTGAGTTAAACTGTTTAGTTTGTATAGTTGTAAGTACTAAGTTGTCTTGTAGAAATTAATTATTACGAGTAAAACGAGCGACTTTAGTGCCAACAGGTCTAATAAGCATTATAAGCTCAACCACCTTCCTAGTAATTTCATAAAATTTCCGCTTATGGGGATCGGTAACATTGGTTGTTGGTTAAGCAGATTTAAAAATGAGTATGTATTCTTCACTGACGACAAGCAACCCTCGAGGACAATACACATGCCATCCTTTAAACGCACACCTGGATAACAGACCGGAAACTAACCATGGCACTCATGGCAGAGCTTTGTCAACAGCGAGAGACAGACACATAGCGATCACACAATATGCAAAATGGAACCCCAGTGGCACGTCCCGGACATGTCCCGACTAAAGGAAACGGACATCACCACCTCCTGGAGAAGGAATAAAAAGGCGTTGGTAAGACATGCTAACGTTAAGATGCCCCATGTTTGGTTGTATTTTTTGAGGGGGGGGAGTATGACGAGTCCATAATAGTTTAAGTACTACCTATATTTAAGCACTATAGAGACCCGTCTAAGAACCTTTTTTTTTCCGTGGTATTGAAGACTGGAGGAGGAACTGCTGTTAGCATTACTTCCCCTCCAACCACACTACCCCTCGCCCCCGCCCGTCTACGAACCTACCAATCACCATTATAAGGCAAAAATCCATCAAGACCTACTACGGCATGGGGTGGGACGGGAGTTCGGGTCGCGCTAAACGTACGGAAGACGGCAAAAGCCTACTTCACTTTTTTTCCATCGTACTGACATCACAGCGTCCTACGTCCAAAGTTTACAGCATCGTTTAACGGTTACTCTTTAACAACAAACTATTACTATCTTGTTTATGATAAACTATCGTTTAATTCCACAGTTCCTGTATACTACAGTTTACATTGTACACAAATAAATATTATATATTTTAATAATATTTAAATATACATATATTATATTATATACATTCTAGTTTCTGCCACACGGTAAATCGTTTGTTGCTTCAAACACCTCTATTCAAAACTAAAATGCCATCGGACTATGAGAAAAAAGACAATACTTTTCCGTTCCCGCGTGATGTTGCTTACGTTTTTATTTAATGTAATATTTTTAGGATTTTTTTCTGTTATTCAGTTTTTAGTAAAAGTTAATATTAAAATATTGGTAGGTATTACAATGTTGTAATTTTTTTTTTTTTTTTGAGAAGTTACATTTTAGTATAGTTTTTGGTATAGACAAATTGGAAGTACTCTAAGGGCGTAAGTATTTCATCAAAGTTTGAAATTCAAACGCTAAAAATTAAAAAAATTTGGTTATTTTTCTATTTTTAAATTGCTATAAGCACAAGTTATGTATAACCTCGCAGTACATTTTTAAGCATATTAATAAAGCATACAAATTATTATGACCATTTAAAGAGAAAAAATTCAAAAATGTCAAATGCTTATAAAAGGCTAAAAATTAGTCTAAATATTTTAAAATTGTATTTTTTTTATAATAAGATAGTTTAATTATTTTTGGAATATTAAAAGTTTCTATACTTAATATTTTTCGAATAGTATCAAAAGTACAAAATTATTTGAGGATAAATCATTATTATATTCTGTTTGAATATCCACTGTCATAAAAATGTGAACTTCAAACGCTACATGTAGTTTGATGCTTAACTTTTTTTTTAAAATTGCTGTAAGAACAACTTATGGAATGATGACGTATTACATTTTCAAACTTTTTGAACTTAAACAAAAATTGTATCATACATAAATCGAAAAACACGCAGTAATGTCCAAAGAAGATCTCAGTCAAAATAGATTCAATTTTTTACTAGAAACTACTCAACGTTGATGATAGAATGTCTTAACTACTACAAAAAGTAATAACAAATATATATAAAACAACAACATAATATAGTTGTAAGATAAATACAGTAATGATTAATGCATGTATTTAAATATAAAAAGTATTTTAGATTAAACATGGGGTTCGTCACTAGTTGAATAATCAATTTAATAAACGAAGGAGAACCTAATACTATGTTCACTATTCTTAATAAAATAATTTAAAAAAAATGGATACGTGGGTGTCGTTCTGATGTACAGTATGGTATACGTGGGTCACTGTAATGGATGGTGTTAAATTTTAATTCAATGATATTATAATATCATTGTTTATGAAAAATGATTCTGAGCTAAGACGGTTTGTCAGCAAAGGATATTTTTTATTATATTTATATTATTATTATTAATACTATAGCCGGTAAGTTGAATTAATATTATTTGTATGTAAAAATATACTTTAGAAGTTAAGTACCCTCGAATAATACTTTTAAATTATAACACAAAACTAAAACCGTTCTTCTTCGTTTGAATATCTAATTTCTTCCAAACTTGAATTTCAATTAACTATATAAAAAAAATATATTTATATATGTTTTAGAGTTTTTGGTTACATTATGAACTATTTACGTGAAATACTGGAATCTTGTCTTACATTTCTAATCTTTAACTATAAAAATTAAATATTTTGTACATTTTTAACTGCAAAATAATTTGTAAATTTTGTCAAAATTTAAGCTTTAAATGCTTATAAAAAAATCTTGCATATGTATTTTGAATGTACTATAACTTTCTACGTTTCATATCTTTTGGATTCAACATCAACAGATATCTCCATGGCACATATTATAATAATTTTCTAAATATTTTTGATATTAGGTTCAATCCGATTGTCCTGAAATTCTTTCTTTAATCCGTTTTTAAATTAATAGCCTTAATACTTAAAATTACCTTAAAATTTGTGGTATTCATAATATACGCATAAAGTATAATATTTTGTAATTTCGGATAGACATTTTAAACAATATATTTTTAGTCGTAAACTAATGTTCATAAAAGAATCGTTTGGTGTACAAGTTTCCTAAACCAAGATGATACAACAGTCAGGCTTGCTAGTGTGGTGTGTGACATTGAATTGGATTGAATTACGTCAGGGTACGAAATCTTTACATTATTGTCGAGGTAACTGGATTATGTTTTAATGTGTGTGTTCGTTTTGTGAAATGTAATTGTATTATCTTCTACGTTTATGTCCGTAAAAATAATCATAGGTGGAAGATAATTTTATGTTTCTGTTACAAGCACGTGGCCTCCGTTAGAAGGTACGCCAGAGCGAAAATTTGCCAAAAAAAGTCTATCTCGTTATTGGTCATGTTCAACTTATAATCACAAAAGCAATCCGTATAGGTCAAGCACATCCGACGATTGACCGTCGACTACAGCCTACAACACGTTTGGGTACTATTTTTTTCTGATGTCACGCCCTAACATGTTTTTGCACATAGTCTATAGTAAATATTACATAATATAATGTAGATTTATAATTTGTTTATACTTATTAAGTATACATTTTTTTTTTATACGTTTATAAGTTAGAAATCATATATATTATTTTAAACACGAACTAAAATTTAAAACTAAAGCCATGAGCTCGTCATGTGACGGTGCATTCAAACTATAATAAAATACAAATCGAACAATGCCGTGTACCTAAGTATTTTTTTTATCTAGATAAAGATAAAGATAATTCAACTCAAATGTATCTAGATAGACATGAAAGGTAACTTAACTCATATTAATTCATTTTATATATTGATATAAAAAAAAGATACAATTATTTTTTAAATGGTTTTAAATTTAGGTATATTTTAGTTGGGCACTAGGAACATAATAATAATAATGATATAAATAAAAATAATTACATTATTTATAAACCATAAACTTTGTTTGAACATTTAAAAATGCGTTTATCAATAAAAAATGTATCTAGTTGAATTTATTTAGATTAGTAAAAAACTATCTAAGATGAACGTTTAGATACCTTGTAACTATTTATCTAGATAAGATTAAAGATGAACAAATAATTATCTAGATATAGGTATTCATCTAGATAAGTTCGAACACTGGTACCTAGGTACCTACTATACTCGTGGATGCTAAACAGGACTTACTACGATAATATTTTAGTGGATTTATAAGATTATTTTATTTTATTATTTTTTTTTTTTAAATATCCCGTGGCAACATAGGCCATTGGGAGGGGGGTGGTACTGTAGGTTTTGGAACGGTAGGTGTGTTACACGTGGGTGTATTTTTGGCAGAATTTTGAATGGGTCACCCGTAGGTTTCTGCCATGCCCCGGAGTGGGGGATGGCGGCACTTGTTCTCCGGATACTGTGACTTGCCCGGAGAAAAATGCCGCCCGGTGGTCGAGAATCGAACCGCGACCGGCAGCGCCGCAGCCGACGCGTTAGACCGCTCGGCCACCTCAGCCCCTATAAGATTATTATTATATTCATTATTACCTAAACGAATTAGACTTAAAACAGTTTTCACTGGTATTTTAATTATCATAAATATTATTGGTAGTGTTACGCACCCTATACAATATGTATAATATTAAATACTATAGCACATATTTTGAACGGTGTGGTGATACAATTAATAAGACTATTAATATTATCAAGACTGGGCCAGTTAACTATTTTTTTTTTAACTCGTTAAGTTAATTAAATATAGAAAAATGGTATGTTAAGTTTAAAGTTAAAACTTTAAAAGTCTACTTTATTTATTTTTTAACTTGTAAAAGTTACAAGTTAATTAGAAAATAAAAGTAATTTAACTTAATAAGTTACTTTTTTTTTTTTTAAATAAAATTAATAATTATACCTACCTACCTTTTTTAAAGCTAACAAATAACATAATTCAATAAATCAATAATGTCTTACAA